CTGCTGCTCAGCGCTGACTAGTGTTGCTGTTATTGGTATTGTTGGGATAGCCGTTACGGCGTTGCGGCGTGACAAACAAGAGCGCATGTGCGGACCAGTTTTTGCCGTTTTCTTTTCTATATAATACAATTTATTTAATTTTATTGTTTTTTATTGTTGTTGTTTTTTAGTTTTTGTTTTTGTTTTTGTTTTTTGTATCTTTTTTCTTGCTTATAATTCTCCACACAGTTTTAATTTAATCTCTTTTGACGAGTTGTTTGTCAAATCGCAATGCTACCAAGGAGTTCATATGTGAACAGGATTTGTGTTGAGGCCATCATTTTAAACATACATATATAATAAAAAAAAGTATGTATGTATGTTTGTATATGTTTTTATAGCACCAGATCGTAAATCTCTGGGTACTAACTTCTGGTCCTCAATACGCTAACATCCTCCCATAGACAAGGCTAAAGACTGCTCGCTTTGTTGAGGTCATTCAGAGATGAGGTTGAAATGTTTATCAGGAAAACCATAATCTCTAATTGTCCTCAACCTGGTGGTAGTAGCATATATTGTCTGGAGCAACTCTGAAAAGTGCAAGGTCTCTCGCTGATCGTTTTTATCATACCGTGTACGCGGTAAGAGTGAATCCTACTAACCTAAGGCAGTGAGAATATTTAACCCTTGGTTTGGTTCGTTTCACACACATCATACTTAGAACCACTGTGCGAAGAGTCCTATTGGGACTCCAGAATATGGACCATTGATTATTATATATTGCCGGTCCCATTTCGAACATGTTTGTGTCAGATACAAATGAGTCAAGTTTTTAAGACGTTTCAGAATTGTATGTGCTCCGTTAAGGGAATGGAAAGTTCTGTGAAAGTTGGTGGGGAGTGTGTTGTAAGCACTGCTAGATTCGGTACTATTGCTTAGAACAGTAGTTTATGAATTACATACGACGCGCTGGACGCTAACTCGAGCTTATCCCAAATAAGGAGGCTGCGAAACATGTTGGAATCGAATTATTTAGGTTCTTCTTAGTAAGCGCAATCCGACTATACAAACTTTCTCCCCGCAAACTCTATAATCGCAGATCTCTATTAATGATGACTGAATAGAAGAGAATGAATTATCATTTGGGTTCCAGGTCACAGAGGGAGGCAATAGTAACTGTATGTCAAATGAACAAGTTATGATCAATAAAATTTTACCAGATAAAGAAAGCGTATTCAAACTGCCCTTAGTAAAATTGTATGGAGGCAAGTCAAGTTATGGTACCACCATAGACCGGCTTGTTGTAAAACCAGATGGTACAAGGAAAAACCGTTTAAGGTATGCTCCATCTCTCTCTTCATAAGAGGCGGGTGCTCCTTGCAGAAGGAAAGCGCCTTCTAAGGGAGCTTATAGGAATGAGAAGGCGGAGGGAATTCTGTGGCTGAACTGCGTTAAAAATAGGCTGATTTCAAATTCGATGATTTATTTTTTCAGGTGGTTTACCTCGAGTCACGAACGCTAAGTTAAATACTCTGTTGAGACTTACTTGGCAATTCAATTCGATGAAGAAGCGTCTGTTCAGTCAAAATTAGACAACCGTGACCTCACTATATCAAGGTCACCTTATCGGCAAGCACCACTACCTTTTCTGCTACAAAGCTATCTTCTGATATATGAGAGGCCATCGTTGTCTTCTTGTAATAAGGATGTCCCGTTTTGCGACATATTACACGCGCTTCCTTAAAGGGTAACCGAAAATCCAAAAAAAAGGTCTATTTATCCTGAAACTACACTACAGGGTATTACTGGTTCGGAGGTGGCTAAAAATCTGTCGGTTCCTTTCAAAAAATAATAAAAACCATAAATGCACTGTTATACTTAAAGATAGTTAAGAAAGCGTTGGATAGTTGAAGGGAATTACTTAGTGAGGGGAGATTTGAATTTATACAATCCAACTACGGTAACCTACAACCAGGCGATTTTGTTTAAAAAAACTCAAGGAGCCGTCGAAATAGTGATGGAAAATTGATCAAATTGATCTTATAGCCGAAGCCCAAACGGTTATCCATCGCTTGGTTTTTAAAATGCGGTTTATTGGAGATTTATCATCTTTGAAAACGTTCTCGATGTGTCGAAAAGGTTAAGGAAGAGATTTTGTTTACGCCTGCAGAAGATTGTGAAGTCTTACTCCAAAAATGGTGAGTCTTCAACTCTGCCACTGGAAGAAAATTAGTTCGTTTTCGGTTCAGAGGAAAAGATTGATGATGCATTTCACAGCTTCTTCGTCTGTTCAAGGGAATTACACATTTAGCGTACCTTTTCGCGCTAGTCTGAAGACATATAAAGTCCATTAGTTCCAAGAAGTGAGGTCTCATGAGTATCCGAAGCGATTTTATAGCATTCAATGTGGATCGGTCGGCAGGAGATGAGCATTTTTACTGAAAAACCTATAGAGAGCTTATTTGTTTCCAAATATTGAAAAGAATGTCATGGACGACGTCGGCAGGATGCATGACTTGAGGCACGAAATCAAAGTCGCCATTGCAGCCATAGCGGGCCAACTAATCGAAAATGTGCTAACAAATTGGATCAACAGACAAAACAGAATGGGCTGCTGCAAGTTCAATTGCGGTAGCGATATGGATGAAGTTAGGTCTTGTCATTCGCCGGGATGTTGACGCTTCGCAGTAAAGGTGAAATTATGGGAAAATAATCAACCATCTTTTTTGAGTAATTTTAAGCCAAACGTTTTAATCGCTCTTCCGTGTGACTGATTGTCTTCTTCTTTTTCATTGCTGATTATAGCCGAAACAACCAAAGCGCGCCATTGGTTCCTTCTCTACGCTGTTTAAAGCCTATTAAAAATAGCCGGGTGGCTCTTCACCTGATACTTCCAACAGAGTGGAGGTCTTCCTCTTCCTCTGTTTCCACTAGCGGGTACTGCATCGTATACTTTCAAAGCTGGATCACTTGCATCTTATTGGGAAAACGAGCTCTAGCCAGCGTAGCTGCCGCCTCTTCGTTCGTTGGATTGCGTCAATGTCATTGCATAGCTCATACAACTCATCGTTCCATCGGCTACGGTATTCGCCATTGCCAAAGGGCGCAGGCCCATGAATCGTTCGCAAAACTTTCTCTCATAGATTCTCAGGGCCATCTCAACGGATGTCGACATCGTCCAGGCTTCTGCACCATTTAGTAGAACGGTAAAGATGAAAGACTTGTGGACTTTAGTTTTGGTTTGTCAAGAGAGAGCTTCACTTCTCTAGCCATCTGAGAAGTCCAAAGTAGCACCTGTAGGATTCAAGGCTCACATTATTATTGTTGCTTATGCTTTGTTTATGGTTCTCTCAAAGTGGGCTTTCGCTACAAAATCACAATAGGAGGCTGATCAATATATGACTACAGCAACAATTCCTGAAACCTGACCTCCTTCGCATTGAATTTGTTTACCATTCACAAATGTAAATAACAAAATTAATTTATGCAAAAGAAAAAAAGTAAAAGAAAAATAAGAGAAATAAATAGAAAAAATTCTACAACTCGGACAACAAATACTCCAATAAGGTTAATAAACGGCATATCAACAAATCGGTCATTAAATTGCATTTTGTCTTCAACGTGTCGTTGGCAATCAATAAATTACTAAATAACACAACAACCTGCAGTATCAATGCCATGCGACAACGTAACAGTGGCAAAGAAAAGTAACAACAAGGTCAACGGCAAACTGCAACAGTAGGAGAGTTAGACTAGGAAGAAGAAGAAGTGAAGAAGAAGAAGAAGAAGAAGAAGAAGAAGAAGAAGAAGAAGAAGGAGAATGAAAAGCAGAAGTAGTAGCTGAAGAATAAACAGAAAACGCAGAATCAATAACAGCAACACGAGCAGACAGATCAGTAGCGACAGAGAAAGCCGAGCAACACTGTTGCTTAACAGCGCACTGTAGTGGTAATGCTAATTAGCAGTTGCTCATGTTAACTCTCCCATTCACCTGCTATTCCACTGGAAGCTGTTTACTGTTTGCCGCTACTGCTACGGCTACACTGCTGAGTGAAAGCAGCGCACGTTAAGACTTGCTGCACATTCACCATTTCAAGTGGCAACCAGCCAGTGCCAATTTCTAGCGCCGATCGTGTGTTCGAGTTGAAGGTAGCAGCAGCAGCAGCAGCAGCAGCCAACCTGTACGTCGCAGCATAGCGAGTCCGGTTCAACAGCGCGGTGGCTTCATTTAGTCTAACGAAAGAAAGTAACGCTTGGCATCGCGTATTTCGCGTTCGTCATTCGTTGCGTGCACACGTGTTTTCGGCTACGTCTGCCCAGCTAACCGTTATCTAGTACATATCATCACAGACAATTTGGTGTTAAATGCACTTGCCTCTTCCTCTTTAACTTCATTGTTAAGCAGTGCCCATCAGCTCTACCCGCGTGTGTAGCGTGTTTAATTTTTTATTTTTATTTAATTTTTTGTTTGTTTTTTGTTAAAATAGCAACAAACATAAAGTAGGAAAAGTGGCGAAAAGAAAGAATAGTCGCAGATGAAAAGTAGTAGTAGCAGAGTAGTAGTGTTGTTGAAGAGCAAGTGGTGCTGAACGAACGCCCCGACCGGCTGAACGACCGACCAACGAACCGTTCAGCAACAAAAACACAAATAAGAACCAACCAACGCAGCCGACCGATCGACATAGCAACCCAACAACGGTGTCGGCGCTCCACTTCCACTCTACTTTGGCGTAAGACTGTCTGTCTACTTGCTATTGACTCGTTGGCGCATAACTGTTCTTTAACTCTTTAATGCGTGTGTGCGCGTGTGTGTGTGTTTTGGCGGTATTGTTGTGTAGGCTTATGGGAAAAAAGCGCAATAACAACAATAAAAATTATTTACAAAAAAAAAATTAAAATAAAAATTAAAAAAAAAAGTAAAAAAGAGTTGCGCGCAAACAACAAAAACAATTAAAAAATTAAAATAAAAAATTAAAAAAATTAAAAACGAAATTCCCGAAAAGCGCAATAAAATAAAACAAAACACAAAATTGTAATAAAAAACAACAATAAAAAATACGTAAACCAAGCCTAACAGCAAGTGCATATACAAATTTTACAACAAAACTTTTGCAATATCAGCGATCAACGTCAAGAGCAATAAAAAAATAACTAAAAACAAAATAAGAATTAAAAACAAAAATTCAAAAAAAGGCGCTGCCACCAACTCTCTGCCAACCAGCGAGCCATTAAGCGCCTGAGGCCCATACAACTCCTCAGAGAGTTTCACGCCACGGCAAGTGTGTTAATAAGGTGCGAATTACAAATGAATTTTATTATTTTAGTTTTATTATCAGTAACTTCTCCTTTGTATGCGGTAGGGGTAAGGGTTTGAGAATTTTTTTTTTTTTGCATAAAATTTTGGGAGAAAGAATCGAAAGAGAAAATCTGCTTAGCAATTAAGAATAAAGAACACAAAAGAAAATGCGTATATAAATATGTATAAGTGTAAGAAATTATTAAAAGCAAATACACAGTAAAAAATAGCAATAACAATAACATTCATAACGGCTCAAATATGCGAAGCTCATCATCTTGGCCGTAAAGCTAGAAAAAAAGAAAGCAGTACACTCGGCATGCTGGTCTGATGCGATGTCCACGTCTGTATGTATGTCTGTGTATGCTTGTGTGTGTGTGTGTTTATTCGTTTGACCGATATTTTCGGATTCTACTTTGTGCACATCAATGAAGAGTTTAATGATCAATAATTGCGAATGAGATTTTACATACATATGTACATATATTCATAACATATGATACATACATATTTATTTTTATAATAAATGGTTTTTTCTTTTTTTTTTTGGTTTTTGGCACTTTGGGCAATCCGTAGGCATAAAAAAATTTGTGGAAAAGGGAAAAAAATATATTCAGTTATTAAAATCATCCAAAATTTGTTTTTGGGCTAGTTGTACGCTGAATGCTGAATTATTTTCAATTTCGTTCACAATAAATGCCGAAAATAGAAAAGAGAGTTTTATTTTCGATTTATTAAATTTTCATGATGGCTCTGAATTTACAAACTTACAAGTAAGAGTAGAAAATCTAATGTCCACCATATTTTATTGTTCTAGGTGATTTTGAAATTAGTTTTATTATTGAGGTTTTTAAATAAAACGTAAATTTTTTCTCTATTGAAATATCAAGACAATAGCAGGTCCAGTGAAAAGGAAACCATTTTCTTGTCTCAAATTGAAGGCTTTATTTACTTATCGGTAGTTTCGATTTATGTTGAACTCCCGATCACTCGATAAATTTATTGCAATTTAAAAGATCATGTCTTTATGCCAACTCTTAAGAAATCTCGTCCCTATAGGTAAAAAATTGGGACACTCGATTTTCAAAGGTTTCTCTTGATTCCCGTGCTACTGAGTAGATCTATAAAAACCTCCCAATTAAGTTCACGGGCGAGTCACTAACGTTTTGTATGGTCTGGGGTTGTCCTCATGAAACACTATTGCTCTCTTGTTGGCCAAAGCTGGCTATTGCTTTCGTCAGACGTTTCAATTGCTCACCGTACAGGTCTGAATTATTACACCAAACTCACAACAAAACCTTTTTGGTGTCCATCCGGTCTTGGAGACTCTATGTATCAACTTAGTGTCCTTCGACTAGGACCGTTTTCGTATGATGTTACTTTAAGTGATCCACTTTTGATCACTAGTAATTATGCACTTCAGAAATGAGTCGATTTTGTGACGATTCAGCAGCGATTTTCAGATGATAATTCGATCTATAAGATTTTTTCTCATTAATTTATGTGAGCGACCTTGTATCGCCCTTCTTGGTGTATCCAGCGTTTTTCAAGTGGTTCCTAGATGAGTGAGACTAGATGAGTATCATTAATTTATCGACATTTTCGACAAATGTCCATCCACAGCGAGACGCATCTTTTCAAGTAAAATTACCGGAACGCAATAGAGGAAACCAAAATTGTGGATAAATGACTGTTATGGTTTCAGCACCACTAACAATGCTTAGTTTTTCAGATGAGTCTACATCAAGTGATGTCTACCCTAGACTTACAGTAACCACTCCGAATTTTTGCTTTATCATTTTTGCAGTGCGATAGTATTCCATACACTCTTTATGCATTACGTACCAGCTGCAATATCTCACATGCTCCTCTAATCCTGGGAGATGGGAGATCTATTAATCTAATTGTCAAGACTTAGACAGTCTTAAAGATTAAATTTGTTTTCTTCATTAAACCTTTCTCGTACTGTTTGCTAAAATAAAATCTCAAGAAAATTGTATTCGTGCCAGACGACGGTTTCTTATGATTATGCTGAGTTTCCGATTGACTCTAGAAGCCAATAGACGCCGGGTTCTTCTAAGACGGCTTCCCAATTGCAAATAAATTCCTTTCAACTAATTTTAAAAACAACAGTATTTCCTCAAAAACTGGTATGTATTAATGGCTAAACAGAAATCGTGCTCGAGGATATAATTTACCAATTTCACTTCGTAATTATAATATAATTAATATATACATATATTTTTTTTAATGCGGAGCTTAGTAGAACAGTATTTATTATATATATGTATATATAATTTTTTCAGAAAACGTTTATTTTAATCCATCCGATAAACTTTTAAAAATAAAAAATTTAAATTTTTTCGAAAAGTAGAGATCTTAAATTTGTACTATGAAAGCATTTTATTGGTAAAAAACATACCCTGAAGTGATGAGATCGATGGCTTCTTGACTATGCTTACCGTTATATACCTTTTGCTAATTTAAAGCTATTTTTTTTAATAATGAAAATATATATTTTTTTTCTATATTTTTATATTTTTAACAAATTCAATTTTTTTTACGTTTTTTTTTTTTTGCTGGGAACACTTTACCGACCTTAACAAGTACACCGTGCCAAATTTAAAGCTACAGAATATCTGATCACTTGATCGTGGCACACAAGTAGCTTAATGGGATAAACATTGGCTCGTGCTGTGGGCATCACAAGTTCGAATCGTCTTCGAACAGAGGTGTCTGGAAAAAGAAGTCGGATGAGGAAACGTGGTGGTTTCCGATATAGAAGCTATAACTTCTACCGTCAAAAGCTATTGTTGTAATTTGTCACTATTTCCAAAAGATATATGGTCTGAAACAAATTTTTTACTCAATAATAATGCAACGCAAGGCCACTGGCTCAATCCTGTTCTACTAACATCCAAAAATAATTTTTCTAATGACGATCAACTCTCGGCATAGAAGACCAAGCGACCCGAGTGTACGCCAGACATGAAAATCAAAGTTCATAATAAAAATCAAGCATGCGTTCGGAGAGGCTTAGAATAAACTGCAGGTCTCTTAATTTGCTGGAAAATAATCAAGTCTCAGAACACAACTTGAAGGAGGAACGCGTTTGACTTACACTTCAATCAGTTTGAAAATAAATAAAATAATCTCAGAAAACCCGTCTTATTTGGGTGCTTCTTAAAATGTCGCTAGTCCGATATATTTTGTAATTCTGATAGCTGGGTAGATGCATACGTACTGACAGTTGTAGAAATATATATATATATATACAACCTTTCTTTCCTACTCGCTAAGAATACCATTTGAAGGCAACTGTCGCCAATTGGTGTAATGACAATTTTATGCTTTCTAATTTCTAGCAAAACTATTACTAGCTACCAGTAAGAAAAAGAAAGAAAGAAAAAGAAATAAAGAAAATAAAAAACAAATATAAAAATAAAGAAATAAGAAAAAGCGAATAAACCAAGCGCTTTCAAGAAGAATTTTTTCTATTCTTTATTGCGCTTGATGTAACAATTTGCTATTCATAAATTACTTTTTCGTTCAACAGCATTGATGGAAAAATAAGAAATAAAGAAAAATTGGAATTTGTTTGTAATATTGACCTGATGCATGGATATTTTTTAGATATTAAAAAATATATTACTTACATTCAAATTGTCACATTTTTTTTTTTTTTTTTTTTTTTTTTTAAATATAAGATAATTTGATTTTACGAGTTCATTCTACTTTTTTAAATTATATTAGTTCTTAAATTATTATTTATACTATTGTAATATTTGATTCTCCTGTTCTTTATTTATTTCATTTTATCCTAGTTTCATTTATTTAATTTATTTCTTTTTCTATTTGTTCCACTTTATTCTATTTAAATTCTGTTTTATTATATTCAATGGAGTTTTTTGTTTACTTTTTTATTTTATTCTATTTAATTCCATTTAAAAATTTATATTTATAATATAATATTTAATATTTATATTTATATATTTATAAATATAAATTTTTAAATTGTTTTTTGGTTCATTTTGTTTTTATTACTTTATTTTAATTATTTTTGTTTTATTGGTTGTAGTTTCTTTAAAATTAGTTTACAATGTTTTATCTATTTTATTTTGTCTTTTTATATTAAGTTCTATTATAATATATTTAATTTTAATAAAATGCATTTATTATATTATTATTATATTTTATTTTATAATTAATATTAATATTAAAATTATTTAATTTGAGCTCTTTTAGTTTAACTTATTTATTTTGATTTATTTTAGCATTGTGGTTAGCATTAATGTCATTCAAAACGCTCGGGCTCAAATCTTGATGTTGTATTTACATCCAAAAAGTTATAGAAAATTAATTTAAAAAAAAATTTGGAGGAGGAGCTCGGCTGAAAATCGCTTCAGCGGTTACAAAGTGCCAATTATATATAAATTTTTTTTATTTTATTTTTATTTCTTTTTTGTTTATTCCAATTTGTATTATTTTTTGTTAGTTTATTTTGCTTTGATTATTTAATTTATTTATTTTTGATTTAATTATTATATTTTGTTTTAAATTGTTTTTTTGGTTTTATATGATTTATGTTTTCCTAGTAAATTGTATTCTATAATAATATATTTGATTTTATTTTCGTTTTAATACATTTTTATTTTATTAAATATCATTTAATTTTATTATATAAATTTTTTAAATTTAAACTAATTTTTAAAATAATTTAATTACGTTTTTTTCAGTTTTTTGTTTCCATTTTATTGTATTTTATATTTTATTTTTATTATGTTCTATTGTATTTAATTTAATTTTATTTTACTATCTTTTATTTTATTTGATTTTAATACTGTATTAATGTTTTTAATATCATTTTATTTTATTATGGTGTACTCTTTTAAAATTTTTTTAATTTTAGACTAATTTAATATAATTTTGTTTAGTTTAACTTATTTACTGTAATGTATTTTATATATGATTTTATTTTACTTTCTTTAAAATTTTTATTTTTTTGTTTAACTTAATTTTATTTTATTCAGTTTAACTTATTTACTCTAATGTACAATAATTTATATTTTATTATATTCCAATTTATTTTAGTTTATTCCATTTCATTTTAATTTATATAATTTGTTTTTTATTTTTATTTATTTTGCTTTATTTAACTTAATTTTTTACAAATAAAATTAATTATATTTGGCTTTATTTTATTTTATATCAGTTTGTTTCATTTCGAATTTCATTTTAATGAAAATCAAAATATTTTGTTATATTTTTATTTAAATTATTATATTTATTTGTTCTTATTTTTTAGTGAATTTATTATTTAATTTATTTTGTTTTCATTTTTTATTTAATTCAATTTGATTAAATCTATTTTAAAAAGATGTTTGCTTTTTTTAACTTATTTTATTTAATATTCATTTTATTTTGCTATAATTATATATAATTTCATATAAATATTCATTTAATTTTCGTATTGCAATTTATTCAGCTATTTATTTAATTTCATTTTGCTTTTTATTTTTGAATCAATTTCATTTTCTGTTATTAAGCTTTATTTATTATTTAATTATTTGTTTTTATTTTTTGCTTTATATATTTTAATATAATTTATTTTAAAGCTATAATTTTATTAAATTTAATTTTAGTATTTAGTTATACATTATTTTAATTTACACGTATTGTGAATAATTTAATTATTTTACTTGATTATTTTAACTAATACATTTTGTTTTTGTTAAGAAAATCTTGTATTGAAGGATGAAAGTTCGCTTATAATTTTTATTTTAATTCATAAAGAACTATGAAAAGCACTTTAGTGCTACCGCGGTGTTCTTATCAACCTACTTGTAAAGCCATGACAGTTTCAAAGTGCGGCTTTACTTCGCATATGTCCGCAATGGGAGTAAAACATTTTTAGCTTGTAGGTTACCTTGATGGCATATCTTTTATACTTTGGACTCTTGTGTAAAATACAATGATCGCTAATGCAATTTATGAGATCAGATCAAAGGACCTCGAGTGTTAAGCTCTTAGCAGCAGCAAAGATATTGGTTTGTAATAAAAAGTAATAATTCTCTAAATCTAAAACTTCAAATATCCCAATTATCTCACACTTATTTTTTGCAGTTGTAATTATTGTAATCTGTTTTTCTTTTATTATAATAATATACATAATTTCAACCTGCCGCCAGAGCTAATAAATTTCTCCCATGCTATACAATTCGACTATTTTATTTCGAATTTTATTTTCACCTCTCTTATTGTGTGTCTTTAACATTGTCTGCCTGCCAATCGTGTCTGATTTTGGTGTGACTTGTAGATTGTTCTTGCTTTGCGGCTGAAAGTTGTTGAAATTTCTATATATTTATATACATAAATATATATATAAAGGGTGATTTTTAAAGAGCTAGAGGAAAGTTTTTCAAAAAAAAAAAAACAGCTGAAAGTCAAGAAAATGCATGAAATCTTTATTTAAATCGATAGTACGGTCCATATAATTAAATGTTTGAAGATTATTTCCTGCAAATATTGAGCGTGATTGCGCCTCAAATGGTCCATCCGATTAGTCCAATTTTGGAATACTCTTTCCGACCGGTATCTCACGAATAAGTGCTTCAATGTTGTCCTCCAATGTGTCAATTGAAGCGGGCTTCTCTGTATAGACATTCGATTTCGCTTAGCGCAACAAAAACTAATCTAATGGCGTTAAATCGCACGATCTATGCGACCACTTGGTCGGTCCCGAACGTGAAATGAAATGTTCACCGAACTCGCCTCCCTATAAGTCCATTGTTACGCGTGCTGTGTGACATGTGGCAACGTCTTTTTGAAGCCACATGTCATGTAAGTCAAGCTCTTGCATTTTGGGCAAAAAAAGTTTTTATAACATCTCACGGTAGCGCTCACCGTTCACAGTTACGTTACGATTCTTATCATCTTCGAAGAAGTACGGTCCAAAGATGCCACCAGCCCATAAACCGCAACAAACTGTGACTTTTTCTCGATGTATTGGTAGCTCTTGCAATGCTTCTGGCTGATCTTCACTCCAAAATCGATAATTCTGCTTATTTACGCACTCATCAAGCCCGACAAAGCTTTACAGAGCACGCATTTTGATAAGTTGAAGAATTTGAAAGCGTTGCTCGTTTGTAAGGCGATTCATGGTTAAATTATGGACCAAATTGAAGATTTTTGACAGTGATACACAATACGAAACGTGCGTCAGCTGTTTAAGCCAGAGTTGCCAAAGATATAATAGCTAAAAAATCACCCTTTACATATATATATGCCCATGTATTTACAAGTATTTATGTATTTTCTTCAGTCAATTTCTTTTTTATTCAGTTTTTTTGTGAGCATATATTTTAATATTTTATATTTATTTTTAGTTCATTTTATTTAATATATATATATATGTATATATTTTTTTCAACTTCATAAATTTCTATATTTGTTTATTTTTTTTACTGCTTATTTATTTACTGCTGAGTGTATAGCAGAATTACTGGTTTGTTGTTGTAAACTTAATTACCCACTGTGGATATATTATTTATGCATATTTATTATTATAATAAAATAGTAATTTCTCCGCAAATCTTGTGTTTTGTTGTAAACTCCAGTATTTTCAAACATTATTACAAGGATATGTATATACATACATATATTATATGAGTGTAAATAGCAAATTGTTTATGACCATGCCAGTGGTATAAGCGTGAAGAACAGCTGAAAGTTCATAAAAATTAATTTGCTGTCTATGGATTTTTCGTATGATTTTTACCGCAGCTTTCCTGGCAATTCTTTGCATTAAAAGTTTCACACTTTTTACTTGCTGTTGTTGTTGTTGTTGTTGTTGTTGTTTGGCGCAAATTTCGAATTTTACTCGCTTGACTTGCTGCGCATGCGCGCACGTTCACTTGTTATTTATTCAGCTGAGCGTATACGCGATTGTACATACATACATACATACATATAAATATAACATTATATTATATATGTATGATGTATGTATGCGCGTGTGTACAACTTTTATGATTGTTGCACGTCGTCTGAGTCGTGCATTTTTCTCATTTTTCTTTCTTTTCTTGAAATTTTTTTCCTTCTATTTTCGCTATAAATTCTATTTTCTAAAGCTCAAATGCCGTTTGTGCTTCGTTTTTTTCCACAACTCTTGTTCTTTTTGTTTTTTTTTTTTTAATTATTATTATTTATATTTACTGTTACATACATACATACAAACAATTTTCTCCCATCCATCAGGCTTGGCAAGTGCTAAGAGAATCACATTCATAAGCGCAGACATACATATTTCTGCTACCAAAGCCTAAAGAAGCACACACACACACGCACACACCTTTGTGTATGTGTGCACCTGCCATGGGTTTTTAACATTCTACCCCAGCCACAGCCACGTCTAGTTAGCTGCCTCTGCGTGCTGTTGTTGCTTTTCTTTTTTTGCTTTCAGCCGCCACTTATTCATGCCATTGATCCACTGATCCATATTTCTCGGTGGTAGACGCGAGCACACAGGCGCTAATTAATAATATGTACATACGTACATATATGCATGCATGCATGTACACATATACATATTGCATATATTTATATAGTCTACTGACTGGTTGCATGTTGTTAGCCGCGTTATACACAACGTATGTATGTAGTCAAGCTGAGTTAATTGCAGCTGCGCTGATTTTCCACTTTAGTATGATATATGCACAAGTGTGTATGTACATTTAATATTGTTTAATTTTTTTTTTTAAATTTGTTACTTATATTATTTTAATATTTTAATTATGTATATTTTATTTGCGTTGTTGCTATATATATATATGTATTGGGTTGTCCCAAAAGAAACCCAATATTTTTTAAAAGAATTTGAATTTTATAATAAACGTTAATAAATTATGTCATTTCTATTTTTTTGGTTGACTTTTCGCCTTCTATCCTGCAACATTATTATTCCACGTTCATGGAACTTCAAAAAAAACTAAACCAAGAGCGTTTTTATAGCCCCCTCATTCTCGAAAGTTTTACCATCCAACGAGTCTGCAAACATCGAAGCAAATGATAATCTGACGGTGCAAGATCTGGGCTATATGGTAGATACTTTAACTGTTCCCAGCCACGCTTCGACAGTTTTTGGTGAGTGACCAAAGTTGCGTGCGGTCTAGCGTTGTCCTGGTGGAATATGATGACACCTTTACGATTGGCCAATCTGGTTGTTTCTCGTTGGTTGGTTGTACTCAATTTATCCAGTTGTTCACAGTAGACATCCGAATTCATGTTGTTGTTGCTATAACCGCAAAAATATTTTCCAAAGTCCTTTTTGGGGGAATCTTGCGGGAGTGACAGTCCTTGGCCGAATAAAAATCCGAGTCGTTCCGGCATAAAGACCCGACTGTCGCGGGAACTAATTGATTTTAATCGCCTCACACGACAGGCATGTCTTACAACGAGTAAATTCTTGAACCCCGAACCCGTAGGGTATCTTGGGTGCTGCTCAAAATATACCAGGTCCTTCCAATCCCACCAAACTGACAGCACAATATTCTGTTTGGTGAATATCAGCTTTTGCAAGGGTTTGTGGCGCTTCTTCAGCTCCAATTATGATTGGTATCAAAAACGGTTCATATTCATTGCGCTTAAGGATCTAGTGTGAATTTTCAAAAAATCGATATTTTTTCATATTAGGTAGATTACATCTTAAAAAAGAACATATTAAAATTTCTAATCGATATTTCAAATAGTTTTTGAGTTATAGCAATTTAAGGAGCAGCTGCTCGGCAGCTAGAGAGTCTCATTAGCTACGAGTGAAAACGATCATTTTATCTTGAAACGCGTTTTTCTCGAAACAGCATATTCCGAATTTGCTGCAGTGATTACTCAAAAATGGTTAACTTTGTATATATATACAATAATTATGTTTCTTTATTTTCAGATCAGCGCATTTTGAACGCAAACACATTGCCTAAAGGGAATATTTGGCTTGTTGCTGATAAACGTTTTGGATTAATTAATCTAAAGTGTTTTTGAGGTAAGTGCAATATTTTGAAACTGATAAAATACCGTTACTCACATCTGAAAATATTTTGAAATCTTAAAGATTACTTTATTTTTACATTCTTTTTTAGGTTTATAAATTTTTTTCTCTTGTTAAATAAAGCTGTGGAGTTGTTTTCCGATTTTCGAAAAGGTAAAAAAAATGCTTCACGCGTTAATTTTTCGTTGATTAGACTAGAGACTAAGTTCCAATGGAACCAAACATTCGAGACACGCCGGTTGTTTATATTAAGCGCATAGCACGGCCGATAATAGAAGGTTTGTTATATGTGAGGCAGATCAACTTTTGGATTTATTATCTGCCATTCTTGGTAGCACTTTAATCACCATTATGATGCTCACGTTACAAGTGTGATTGTATTCTTTTGACTGGTTTCGCAAATATTCGATTTGACCCAAAGCTGGGGGAAGACTTTGTACTCATTGTGTCCCTATTTAATTCGTGACAAACACAAATTTTTGTGTACTTTTTGATCCAAAAGTGAGTTGTGCCATGTCCACCAACCCGATTTTTTAAACTCCCATTTAATGCCATCGTCCCTAACAAAGATGTCTTAAATTCCGCATTTAGTTACTAAATTATGGTGATTTTTATACTTTCCTAAATTACCCTTAATTCTGAGGTGGGCGTAGGCTTTGAGTTATTCCAAGCCTTTGCAATTCGTCAGTACTTGTGAGCTAAGAAATACATGAACCAATTTCATTATCATTTCCTTGCCTGAGTTATCGAGTACATAGACATGATTAACGGCGAAGCAAATGGGCTTAGCAGTGAACGAGGACCATAGTAAGTATCTCCTGCCCACGTCACTGTTGACACTCATAACTTCGAAATCGCAGATAATTTTGTCTCTGTCGTTGAAAACCAACACAGAATCACTTTTGTCATTAGGTGCTAGTTTAGAGTGATTAAGCTATTGAAAAGCAAAGTTCTCTCTCGACAAACCAAAACCCTACATGTGATTCATCTTTACCATCCCTCTATATGACGCAGAAGCCTGAACAATGTCAACATCCGTTGAATTGACCCTGGGAGGCTTTGAGAGAAAAGTTTTGCAAACGATCATTATTGCTTTGTGCATTGTCTGCGGCGGATATCGCTGATGATAGGGCAATGAGTTATACGATGACATTGGTACAGTTCAACAAACGAAGAGAGTAGCGGCTATGCGGGCTAGGCCATGTCGTCTGTATGAATGAAAGTGCTCCAACTTCGAAAGTATTCGATGCAGTAACCGACGGTGGCAGCAGAGAAACACGTCGAGCTCGTCTTTATTGGAAGGATCAGGTGGAAGGCAACCTGGTTTCACTTGGTATCTCCAACTGGGAACAAACAGCGAAGGGAAATGAATGAATGTAGCGCGAATCTGGCTATGTTGCGACCGCCTAAACTCTCGCCTTGGCGATGTCAATTGGCTACCGAGATTAGGAGACTTAAAACCGTTGGACTACGCAAAAGACGGATAAACCCTTCACTTTTTAAGGTTCAGATTTTATATATATATATATATTACCGCATAACAGATAACCCTATATTATATATATAAAAGGTGTTGCATTTCGAGGTTCCCTACTTTTTTAAAGAAAAAAAAAATTTAAATTTAATGGGAATGTTTATTATCATTCGAAAGAACATTCTTTGACATTTACTTTTTGAAAATTATCTCTTTCAAATATCAACGTCTCGATAGTCCATTCGTTGAGTCCAATTTTCGTTGACTCGTTCGAGCATCTCAACTGGTTACAGGCGAATAACATGCTACATGCCTACAAGGTCTCAATCGAAGCGGAATTGTCCGCTTAGACTTAAAACTTTACAAATCCCTAAAGAAAAAAGTCTAACTGCCAAATCACCAGCCCAAAACGTGAAATTATCTGCTTATCGGCTTACGGATGAAATGGCAGCCCTTTAATCTCCCCAAAGTGGTCTTCGTCTTAAATGCAGCAATTTTGATTATTTACATACTCATTGAGCTAGAAATGGGCCTCATCACTGAACAAAATTAGGCTCTTCTTGAAACTATTCAAGAGCCCATAGACCGAAGCGATATCGATGTCAAGCGGCTTCAATTCTCGCACAAACTGTATTTTGTATTTTTTCAATTTAAGATCTTAATGTAAAATGCGCCAGATCGTGCCATACGTCAATCCGTCTTACTGCGAACAGCACCGAATAGACTCTCCATGATCTTCGTGTAGACTCTCAGCTGCGGTTGCCATATTTTCTGGGACTACGGACTAGATGTGGTCTATTCGGTGGAATATTATTCAATAATAAATGCTGGTTTTCAAGCTATGAAATAGTGTTCCGAATAGTACGCGCAGTAGGCCGATTATGTTGACCATAAGTTGAGTGGAGCGCAAGAGACATATTCTTTACAGAACATGACTTTTCGTGGTACAGTTGAACGCTTTGTAAACGTTGTTCAGGCGTAAAGCTTCTATGAAGAAATGGCAAACAACACTGAATACAAATAATGTGACAGCTTAACATGACTCACGCGTGATCTGTCGAAAAAGGCTGTTGAAAAAAGTACCTCCGCTTGGATGAACCGTTAAATATATAATATAAAGTTTTCGTATTATTTTACTACCAGCGTTCCATCAATATAAATTATGAGTGGAAAGTTTTTAAAAAATAAAGTTTTTCCTCTCAACTCAACTAAACTACGACAAACCATATGCAAAAATAGGTAGGTATGTGTATATGTATGCACCAGCACATAATTTACACAAAAGTATGTTATAAGCGCTGCACACCAAGCCACGCGTCATTAGATGCAAGTGATATGGGTGTGAGTGCAACACTAAAGCCAACCACGCAGTGGACAGCTGTAAAAGAACTGAAGACAAGAAATATGGCTGCCATAAAATCAATATATATATATGAGCACTCTTATGCTTTTAAGTAATGAAAATCGCTTTTACGATCTATGAAAATCAAATTTAAGAATTATTAGCGAAAAATGAAGCGAGATATTTATATACACACGGCGGATATGTAAAGTCACTGTGATGCCAGGAAGCAAGTATGAATAGACTTTTTCCATTTTTTTTACTGTTATTTAAATATATATGAGCATATACTTCTTTTATGTCTTAATTTTTATTTATTAACTGATGCTACAAATTAGGTCAAGTAAAAATTTCGTTCGGCTTTTTATTGATTTTTCAACATATGATAACTTTGTGTACATTTGTCCGATTGAAGTCAATTCCGGAGAGCCAAATTTCACAGGCCTCTCTTGAGGCCAACTTCCCACCAATAATCGCATTCGCCATGGACAGGAAATGGTGGTAATCACTTGGTGCCAGGCCCGGATTATAAGGTGGGTGCATTAGGACCTCCCACCCGAGCTCCTGGAGCTTCCGGCGCGTCACCAAAGCCTTGTGTGGCCTGGCGTTGTCCTGATGAAACACATTTCGGCCACTGTTGATCAAAGATGACCTCTTGTGGATAAGTGCTGCCTTCAAACGGTCCATTTGTTGGCAGTAGAGGGCCGAATTAAGCGTTTGGCCATAGGGGAGAAGCTCGTAGGAGATGATTCTTTGCCAAGCATACAGCAAAACCTTCCTGGCCGTCAATCCGGTCTTGGCCACCGTCTGGGCCGCTTCCCCGAGCTTTGACCACGACCGTTTGCGCTCGCTGTTGTCGTAAGTTACCTTTTTTCATCTTCAGTTACAATCCGCTTCAGAAACTGGTCGATTATGTTGCGATTCAGCGGCGATTCGCAGAAGGAAATTCAGTCCATCATGTCTTTTTGCGTCAGTTCGCCACTATTTTCCACTATTTCGATGATTTTATCGCAATTTTCGACGGCAGGCCTTCCGACGCGTGATGCATCTTTGACATCGAAATTACCGGAACGGAACCTAGCAAAACAGGTTTGTGCTACACGTTCGCCTACAGTATCGGGCCCATAAGCTATTTAATATTTTCAGCCGCTTTGGCTGCATTTTCGCCTTGATCGATTGATTGAAAAATATAGCGAATTTTCTCTTTGCTGATGCCCATCCTTTGAGAGCGCTCACAATGCACTGAGTCAATCAATCGGAAAACTGTCAAAGACAAACTTTTAGCGCGAGTAAGCACGTTTTCAGCGCCGTATAGTATGGCATAATGCGACACGTAACGCTAGTACAAGGACAATAACGCCATCTCTTAAATAAAAACCGAACGAACTTTTTACTTGACCAATATTTAAATAAATATATGTACATATACATACACACAACTGGACAGGTGAAAATTAATGAAAGAACAAACAGACGCCAGACGCTGTTGGCAATAGCAAAAAGCATTCTATCGCTAAATAAATAATATCATAAAGGAAATTGAACAAAAGAAAACATTTTTTATTGAAGTGTTAAATTGAATCGAGTATCTATGTAGATTGATTGGCAGACAATTGTGGTCGAAGAAGAAAGCGCACCGGCGCGAGATGTAAATAAGAAAAAAGAAGAAAGAGTTGAAAGTAAAAAAAAAAACGGTAAATAACAACAATAACAGTGGTAGAATTTGCGGAAAGAGAAAATGAAAAGGTCACTTGGGTGTTTTGATTGATTTGTGGCCTGCAAAAATTTCACACACCTAAATGCGCGCAGGTATATGGATCCGTTCGTTTTTTATTTTTAATTTTTTTTTTTTTAAATTTATGTGGCATTGATTTGCTGTTTTTCTGCCACTTTTTTATTTATTTAATTTTTTTTCAGTTCTTCTTGCTGGCCATACGGTTCGTCACGCACGCGCATTCAAGCTCTTGACACGCAGCCAGCGCGTTGATGTGTGTGTGTGTATGTGCGTGTGTGTGCTAACTTCTGTTGTATTTTATATTTATTCGCATGTACACGTTAATTTATGTTGATACATTGTACATATATGTAATATAATAACTGTGTAGGATCGATTCGACGTGGCTGCTTAAAGAGTTTACTGGGTCAAAAAATGGAAACAGCAAATTTTTATTGTAATTT